AACCCAGGCTCTCAGACATAAGGCACCTGACCAAGGTGACGCAGCTAGAAGCAAGAGCCAGCATTTGAAACCAGCTCTGACTCTACGCTGATGTGATGTGTGGCCAAACTGCCAGCCACCTTCTTCCCTCATCCCAGCCCCTGCCATGCCAGGGTCAGCGACATATATTGCTCATGCTGGTCTCATGCCTTTATCCACTTGGCCCACTTCTCCTGGGGTGGCTGGGTTTCTTCCCCTCCTTCTCCAATCCTATTCCATCCCAGCTCGACTTGGGGGATTCTTCACTCTTGAGGCGCATGCTACTCTTCTCTGGCCTCCCCCGAATTCCCACAAGAACTGGAGTCAACTTGAGAACAACAGGGAGTTCATGTGTGGCTCATGATCATACTTCCTGGACCCCCGGATGGAGTCCTTGGCACAATAAGTATAACTGCACACTCGGAACACTGAGACAGATAAGCACATGCTAACAGATAACCACATGGCCCACGCGCCTCCGTTCTTCTTACATACCATCTCCAGAAGTGGTCTGGGCTAGCCAGGATGACTTCTGTTTCTCTTTCAGCTGGTAAGCTCTTGGAGAGAAGGGGCATGGTTTAAGAAATAGGATTTTAAAATGCGCGTGTGTGTTAGATGGAATTGGAAGCGTACTTCAGAACTCTTTCTCCTGGTTCTGGGAGGTCAAGGAACATTCCGTCTAGAAGCCAGGAAACTAATTTAGCATCCACTCTGACCACAGAGAGGTCAGGCAATTCCCACAGTGGCCACCGAGCTCAAAGGCATCTATTGAAGGACTGGGCATGAGGTTGAGACCATGGCCATTTGGGAAGAACCAAAAGTGTCCCGAGGGAGGGGCTGGACACTTACTTGGTTGGTGATGGCACAGGAAGGCCCATCCATGGGGAGACTTGGGTATTGGTTAAGCAGGAGAGAATGGCCATCGTGGGCTAAGGGAGCCCATTTGGGATTGAGGCGTCAGCTTTGCCACTTAAGATGACTTCACCCTCAGTTCCCAGGATGTGGGTCTGGGTTCTGCGCCCCTCCCTGCCCATATGTTTTCCTGGCCTCCGTATCCTCATCTCTCAAATGAGGTTGACAACGAAGCGTTGGGGTTAAGCTAAGTCATCGTAGGTCCCTTTCAGCCCGCTGAGTTAATATGAGGAAGTCCAGCCATTGCTGTTTTATGGACCCTGGGAAGAGCCAGGCTAGTCTAAGTAAGCCACGGTTCCCAGGTTGCACAAGCACAGCTCTGATTCAAAGCAAACAGAGGCTAGGCGGGGGCTCCAGGAGAGAAGGGCCCTAGTGGGTGGCATAGAGGAAAGGAGCCCCCAGTTTCTAACGGGGGCTCTGTTTCATTGTCTGCAGTGTTCCTGACCCCGAATGGCTGTTTGCCTCATGCTTCGGGAAGGGGTAAATATTCATAGCGGCGGTTTTTCCCTTCTTGTGATACGAATGCATATATCAAAACATTTGTCACTTCAACATTCCGCCCCCTGCCCATGTGCAGTTGAGTGACATTGTCTTTTACCACATTGCACCCCATCCAAACTGTGTCCACTGCTGTTCATCATCTGTAAAAGGAACTCGCTGCCCCTTAAGCAATAACTCCTCCTTTGCCCCTTCCACAAGTCTCTCACCCCAGTAGACTTGGATCTCGATACATTTGCTTAGATATTTCATACCGGGTGGGCTCATACACTATTTGCTTGCTTGGCTTGGCTTATCTCACCCACCTTGTTGTTTTTGAGGTTTATCTCTCAGGTAGCATATATCAGAATGCCGTGTCTTGTCACCACATCTTGTTTATCCATTCACATGTTCATGAACACTTGGATTATTCCTACCTTTGGGCTATTGTCGATGGTGCTG